GGGCGTCTTCCATGAACAAAGCACCAACCATACCAGAGAAGAATAAAATCAACATCAAATTGAACAAAAAAAATATCTTTTGGAGAAAACTCTTCATATCGCCATAGATCCTTCCTCGCCCCCCGGGGAGTTGTCGCCGTCCGCCAGGAGAGCCGAAAGGAGCGGCAGCGACGCATCGACGCGGGGGACGAGACGGCTCGGCTGAAGCGGCTTGGGCGGCGCAGAATGACTCGAAAGCGGATCGGGAGGGCGTTTTCCCAAGCAGGAGGTATATAGTCTTTCTTTCTATGGGAAAATGCAAAAATATGCCAACACAATGGGAAGCTGTTCATGTTTTCGGATTTGTTCATAGTCATTCATATCCTATTTGCTACAGAATGGTTGTAAATACTGAGAGTGGGTACCGCGCAATAATTTCCAGCGGATCTATCGGATATTTTGTGAAGAGTACGAACCCCTGGCCTGGGTTTCAGTTCATAATATATATATAGATATATAGGTTGGAAGTTATGTGTTTATTTAATTATACAATATGTACATGATGTCCCTGTACCCAAAAAGCCCACGAACCAAACTGGTGGATCTCCCTATTCCAAGAAAATGAACAACAAACACACATCAATACATGCATTATATAGCTATTCGCCTCTGCATTGATTGACCACATATAGACTCTATATAGTATATATATACATCCGTAGAAGGGTACCTTCAGATGTGACTGACATGCAAAGACCCTCCACGAACAACTCGCCATCCGATCTGCTCATGTTTGCCAGTAATTACGCAGGAACATATCATGGAATCTCAGCTTGTACTGTTCAAAATGGATACATGCAGTACATGGTGTTTGAGGCCCTCTGGTTTTTGTTTTGGAGTATGTTATGAACAAGCTGAGTTTGAACAGGCTATATAGTACTTGAGATCCAGAAATGGGCTATTCCGGCAGCGATTCACCTTTTGGAGCTGACGTCCCAGCTCCCGCAGCCCAGGTTTCAGTCTGCCCCAGTCCCACCAATGCCATTGCCAGTGCCAGTGCCTGTGGCGACACCACCGGTGCCCTCGCCGGCTACGCCTGGTCTGCTGAAGGGCAAGGGCAAGGGCAAAGGAAAGAAGGGCAAGTGCCTCGGCAGACCATCCCAGTTCGCATGTCTTCTCGATTCGAGCCCCGCGATTCGAGCTTCGTCCGCGATGGGATCGCCTGTCCAAGGTCATCGGTTTGGAACGACCCAAAAACGACCCAAATCGACATGATCATGACCCAGGTCATGTGAGCCTGAGGAAGTCAGAGTAAGAGTAACGATAGAGTAAGTGGGCATTTCTATCATTTGTCTATATTGTGGACATGCTTGTGCATGTAGTTTTGCTCCCGCTGATCAGCCAAGTTCCTTCTTAAAGCTGAGGCCCCTTGCAGAGCGACCCCTGTTTGTAAGATCATCATCACCGGTTCTGCAAAAATTACAGAGGGATCACACAATTAATCCCAAAAACGACACCCTCACGCTGTTCCCTCAAGTATAGGTTCTTTCAAACTCTTTCGTTGAGTCTTGTTTGATCGACTAATCCTTGCAGGGAGTTCCATGACGATCCAATCGGATTTTCGGCTCAACACTTCCCCAAAACTGGATCGTTTGAAGTTAGATTACTTTCACATCGCCATCTCATTCAATCCGAAGGTACCTGGTCAACATGGTTATTTGCATGTTTTCCTTCAGGCGGATGAACCATATCTATCTATCTATCTATCTAGCTATCTATATATATGTTTATCTCTATCTCTATCTATCTATCTATCTATCGATCCATCCATCCATCCATCCATCCATCCATCCATCCATCTATCTATATATCTATCTATCTTTCTGTCTATCTATCTCTCTATCTATCTATCGATCGATCTATCTATCTATCTAGCTATCTATCTATCTATCTTTCTATCTATCTATCTATATAAATACACACGTATCATATGTGGACCCCCATGGCCACCTGAACTCTCGAGTTGTACCTCTGAGCAAGAGGCCCAAGTACCCGTGTTTTAGGTCCATGTTGCCATTCCTGTGCTTCTCGGCTACTTTTGAGAGTCAAGGTATGTATTTAAAAAATCACCAGCTGGTCCGGTCTGGCCTTGAACAGGTCGTTTGCTTGGAGCGTCCAAAGTGGGTTCTTGGCCGCCATGGGCACTTTCTCACGCATGCCCGATATGCTGAGGTGGCTATAGTCAAGGCCTGTCGCGGTCATGGGATGAGGATAGAATTGACAGTGAAGGTATAGTGGACGGTGGAAATAGTCCCCGCATGTTTGACTGGATGATATGAAAGGGCAACAACTATAACTATATTATTGCTCTCTTTGTCTCGGAATATGGAATCTCCCCAAGATCAAGGTGAGCCCAGGTGAGCTAAGTAATAAGTCTCAAGTGAGCGCGTCCACTAGTGCTTTCCTAGTTGAATTGTCATCAGTGCTTTCCGCCAACTTGGAGTTGTCCGCTCCGCTCTTTCACGGCGATGTACCGAACGCGGAAGCAGCTGGTAGGCCATTTCAGTGTTGAACATGAGCGTATGTTGTCCAAGAGTATGTGCATACTTCCTTGAGAGTTCCGTGGACCTCCAAAGATTCGCCGAAAGCCATCCTTTCCTCATCATGACATAAAGGACCCCCACATGGAGACCCCCATAAGGAGCCTCACAAAACACTTGGAAAAGAGATTAAAAGAGATGACATTCTTTATCCAAAGTGGAGACAGGTGGAGACCGGGAGGCATTTGTTTGGAGGAGATCCTTAAAAATTCCGCCCCTGTTTTGGGCCTTCAAGGACTCACTTTCGGACCACTTCTTTGTCTTGCCACGTCTTTGCCAGTTGCACCGCGGACCGCACGTGCCTCTCAACGCGCATGGTGAGTGCCGGAATGTGTAGCGCCGTAGCGGTAGGCCGCGGCGTGGCCAATTGGCCAACCAACATGGTATTAACAGGGTGGTCCTAGGTGAAAGACAAAAAGGCTGGAGTGCAGAAGACTAGACTAGACATATACACATACTGCAGCTACACCAAAACATGAATCATCAAGTGAAAGAGACACGCTTTAGTGAGTCATCCAAGACTCATCACCTGAAAGCTGTTTGGAGAGGTTTTACTACGCATCTTATAGCGTACATATAATTGGTAATGATACACAACAGCCCCCTAAGGGGTGTCTATCAATAGCCTTTAGAGGTTAATGGGGTTGTCCATACACCACCCCTTCTGGGTCCCGGTCTATCTACATAAGTACCCGGTGACTTCGGGTGACTCGCGGTTTCTACAAATAATGGTGACTCCCGCTGACCTGTGTGCTGTGGGCAGCTGGTGGTTCTGGGCTCCAACATCGATCCGATTCCACCGAAGAATCCTCCATCGATGCTCCGGGATGCTGGATGGATGCCTAGAATCCTCCCAGAAGACTCACGGTTGAGATGTTTCCTTCACTTCCCACCTGGAACATCGAGGGAGGAAGACCGGGCAGCACCCAGAGATCTTTGGGACAGTACTGGACGTTGTGTTGGTTGGACATACTGGCATACTGGAACTGAGGTTGACCTGCTATATAGGGCCCCAAAAGTTTTTTTGAGTCTAGTTGTGAGCGGAGAAGTCCCAAACTATTTGTCTTGCGACAGGCCGTGAATGACACAATGTGGAGCCAGTTTGGTTTATTGCCACAGCCACTTGGGAGCACCCTGTACGGGCAGGGCCACAACCATCTCGCTCAATGCTCAGAGTAGGCAGGTAGCTTTCAGGAGAATACGACCACGGAAGCCTGCTAAGACTGCGCTAAACGAAGCAGATGGTTTTTTTTGCGTTTGTTTCTGCTTAGACAATACTAGTCCAGCCACGCCCAGTTTAGTATTGTAACAGTTATTGTAAATTATTGTAACATACACATATACATACACATATTCATCGGTGCTCAGGTGTTCCAATCTGTTTCATAAGCTCCCGGCTGCCCAGTTTGGGCATCCATACCAGTGGACTGGACCTGTCATGGCCGGCTGGACCTAGCCATGCCGACCGAAACGCCACACCGCATTGGTCAACGACGAATTTGTTGAGACGGTTGGTGGACAACAATAATCTGTCAGATTTATGTGCATTATTGTGCGTTTATGCAAAAAATCATCAGAGGAAACGTGAATCTGTGTGAATGTTCTTTGAAGGCATGGGAGATCTCTCCTATACTCAAAAACGATTAACTACCCGAAAAAATGTAGCCGGCCTGCTCCGCATGAATCCTTGGGCTTGCAATGCCAAATGTAGTTTGCTAAAGACGATGTCAGAGGATTTAAGTTTTTGATCGAGGGCTCTAGCAGCAACAGTAGTGTTGATTGTGCTCCTACCCTTGGAGCAGTGGACACATGGTGGCTGTTCGTTTGGTGGAGGCTCATGTAATAGCTGACCCCCCCTCATCACAATCTATCATCAGAATCATTGCCTGGCATGCTGTCATTCTATGTTATTCTTCATCAAGGAAGAACCAATGAAGCAAGTCATCCATCCGATCCATCGATTACGACTCAACAACGGATCTGAGGAAATCGCAAAGGATCCACGGGAAAAGGACCGCAACCCGAGCCGCAAACGCCCGACCACATTGACCCGGCAACCCGCGCCTTCTCTGAGCGGAGCGTGCGGCGGATCGTCGTGCTGCGGCGAGAAAAAGGGAGGTTTTCTCGGTCGCTGGCAGAGCGAAGCGAGAAGACCGGACGCAGAAAGTGGAGCTTCATGGAACTTCCGTCTGGTGCCTTTTTTGAGTATGTGGTTGCACTCCCACAAATGCATGCAAGAAGCACTCCTGCCCAGCAGTAGGTGAGAAGGCAGGTATAGAGGTGACGTACCAGATTTCAGGACATTTGACTGAAAGTGACTGGAAATTGTAGACACATGACACACGTGAACCAGTCTTTCAGTGAGACCAGTTCACCGGAAGCAGGTCGCTGGGCTCGATCCATCCGCTTGCTGGGCTCGATAGAAACAAAGGCGCAGGACTCGTGCTCCGTGGACGCCATGGAGAGAGATCGACCAACCCGATGGGGGAGGATCTTCGGTTTCTTGGATCAGTATGACCGGGCAGTCGTGGTTGGACCGCAGTGGGCGGGCTAGGAAAAGAGGCAGACGGCGTGCCTTTTTCACCCGAGTAATCCCTGTTCTGTGTGTTTGTTTCACTATACAGCAGCCAGTGTGCAACGGGAGCACGTATTTGTCCTACTAAAAACAAGACATCAGGTGTGCGACGCTTGTTGATATATGTACCAGTGCGGCGTGGGTGGGTCAACCACTGCTGTGTCGTGGAGAGTCGTGGAGAGGAGAAGGTCGACTCAGAGGATCTGAAAGATCTCCATTTGGTATGAAAGCATAGTCAGTCTAGTGTATCAAAGGTGGAGATTATATCCTGTGTGCTGTGGAGACCGTGTTATGTATGTGTCCTCCATTATGTATGAACATGGAGATGATCTCCTATCCTCGACACGGACGTGTCGGATCGTGTTTTACGGGCGAAATCAACCCAAATCAGTCCCGTTCGTGCATCTAGGTAAATCATTCTGCTCCCCCAATCACTCGATACCTTCTTCATAAACCAAAGTACTGAAGCAAAATATACTCATAATTGCATTAACAAAAACATAACATAATGATACATAATGTATATATTATGTAAAATTATAGATATGCAGGCTCATTCTTTATATGATATACAATATGCACTGGTTCCAGAGACTCAAGATCCACGCCCCATCAATGCACACCAGTTCCGTGGCGACCGGTCAACAAGGCTCCTTCTTCCCCATGGCTCCTCGCGCGCCGGTCCGTGCAGAGGAGGCCCGAGCGACCTGAAGCGAACGACCCCTTGTCAAAAGCGATGTGAATGGCCAAGAGAAGGAGTTCACTTCCCCTGGTCCAGTCCCAGGGAAGTTGGAAAATCCTCGGTCTCAGCTGGGCTTTGGGTGCACTGAAGACCCAGTTTCGGGTTTGCTCCGCCAGAGGCTGCGGAAGTGGACCTCTTCGGAAGCTCCAAGCCCAAAGTATTTTTGATCATCCCGACCCAATATCATACGGCTTTCCAGATGGCCCCCTTCAGGAAGCTGGTGTTCAAGAGTACATCTTCAACGTGAATGACCAGCATATCTTCCATGTAGCCTCTGGGTCACTTCCACACATGCTTACTTTCCAGGTACCGCCACCCGAAGCACCTAGGCGCGGCCACGCGTGCCCACGCGCGCCCACGCGCGAGCTAGCAACTTCGGGTCCACCAGATGTCGGACACTGCTATCTGAAAAAGATTGAAAAGTATGGATGCCTGACCGGACGCCGGACAGTTTGTTCGTTTGTAGGAGGGTACATTGAGGAGCCAGACTCATTGACTCATTTGACACAGTGTGTGGAGCCACAGTGGTTTTGGCCTCAACAAATGTCTCAATCTGGATTTCAAACCAGGGGTCTATGGTTTTGGCGCAGACCCCTCGGTGGGTGCAACTTGAGGATCTGTTGATAGCAGGATCGAGTCCAGAGGCACCGACGTCGTTACGGCATGCCACGAGTCGAGTAGCCTATGGTTTTTTTTCACCGCTGGAGACCCGCGACATCGTGCTTTGCCTGGGAAAGATGTGAGACACATGGAGACTGGCCAGGCCTGAAGAGAAGAAGCCTGAGGAGGTGAAGATCTGGGACCTGGGGGAAGCCAGGTGGTGCCGCAGAAGGGTCGTTTCATGTGAGACGTGAAGATACAGAAAACCACGACGTGAAGATACTTGTCGTTTCATGATCGACCTGAGTCAGACCTGGCTCATGAGAACTACATGTTTTTGCTCCAAGTACCTCCTCAGAAGGATTTGGACCCTATAAACCCACCCCAAACACCTTCTTAGAAGGTACTTGGAGCCCTAGGGCTATGATCCTGGAGTTTTCTCGGATCTTCGGTGGTTCTTGGCATGAGCCTGTGACGACAGGCTCTTGACCTGGGACTGGCACACTCAGGTCTCGTCGGGACGTCAACTGGCATGCTCCTAGAACTGTCCGTCAACTCGCATCAACTCGAATCAAGGTTAGAATATAAGTTGTAACATATATGTTCAGAAGTGCCCGTTATTTCCATTGATGTCCACTTTAAGTGTGTTCATGTTACTAGACTCAATCTATCTATCCATCTACATAGGTGGATGCCCACAATGTCCAATTCAATTCTGTCTTACTACTGATGACTGATGCTACTGTAATTAACTACTTACTGTGCTATTCTCTACGGATCTAAAGTAATCTTGCTACTTGACTTGACGTTTAATCTGCTTTTGGCAATTGGACATAGCAGACGGGCCTCGCAGGATTCAGGAAGCCGCAGGATTCGTGAAACCTGTGGTTCCGCCTTGTTGGATTGGGCCATTGTAAACTGTCGAGTAACCACAAGGAGGGTGAAACCTGTATAATATACCTAAACCTCCGGCAGAGCTTTCTGCTAATTTCCATCTCAGCAGACATTTCAGCCGATCTGAATGATCTGAACAACGAAACATGTCGTGGCATTGTCAGGAGAAATGCGCCAACAAGAACTTGTCTAGATCAGAACAGTCCTGGGATTCACGGATTCACCCATTGTTTTCTATAGTCGCAAGAACAAAGTTCAACCCTGACAATGTTTGTAAGAGTCTGGACTCCGACAGTTCCACCACCAACTGGGTGTTGAAACAGCATGAAAATGATCTCTCCTTTTTTCAGCCAGTCACAGGCAGCAAGCAAGAAATGCCGCCACTCAGTGTTTTTTGAAAGGGCATGGCACCATCAACACAAAGACACCTCTTCCTTCCCGTTCTTGTAGAGTCAGAAGCTTCTGATAACGCCCTAGGTACTTCAATGTGAAGCTAAAGGAGTGAAGGTCCAAGGTCTGCCATTCTAATCATAGTCATGGTCGAGGCCACTCCATCACCTCGTTTTTACTGAACTCTCACATGATGTGCATCTGCAGAACCTCAGCTCCCCTCCTTCATGCTTCAAACTGCAGGAGGCGGCGGTGCAGTTTGAGATGATGCAACGAGAGTGGCAAAACATCTCCATGCAGGAGCAGCGAGACTACGACTCGCACCCAGTATACGGTTGGCCATGCACGGGTGTCGGCGGAGTCGTGGCTGGCAAACGGAGCTGTTGTTGGTGGTTGATGGACCAATTGGGGAGTTATCCAAAGTTTGGTGGGATAGATGCAGAGTTGGATGGCGTGATTTGGTGTGTTAGCTGTTCTATTCTTGGTCTTCCAGGTGACGGTCATCCACAGTTATCAAGAGTTGCCCCTTCTGTCCGGCCAGTGCCACCCGGCAGTGGCGACCTGAAACTTCCTTTCCAAAACCGAAGGCGTTTTCAACCGAAGGCGTTTTCAGCAGCCTGCAGTTCCCCCGACCGAAGGGTTTTCAACCCAACAGAGGTGAAGTGACCGTAAATAGGGCCCGTGACCGTAACCTGGAATACCTAATGGGATAGGAGCAAGGATGCTACTAGTAGCTCCTAGCATGAATACTAGCAACAAGAAGCCACTTGGAGCAAAGGGCATTGCTACTAGGAGCAAGGACGCTTCTGGTCTATATAGGCTTCAGAACAACCTCTGTTGCAGTTCCGAGCCTCGCATCATCCAGGACAACTGGGATGGCTTTCGCATCGAGGCTCAGAACAAGGTCACTGAGACCCTGCAGGACGGACGAAACGAAGAGCGAGGTTCTGCGATTGGAAGGTTGTCTATCGCGGCGATCGGGTTAGGCGCGGCGATCCCAGTGGCGGGAAGCGGGTTCTGCGATCGACAGTTTTTGCTATTTTGTGCCGAGAACTGTCTTCAAAGCGGATCTAATATACTGAGCCGAGTTGTGAAACTTAGCAATTCCAAGTAAGCAACTTCGGCCCTGGCTTCGAGAACCTTTGGCCAAACTCCTTGAAGAAACCCGCCACCAACTCGGTCATCGAAACACAGTCCAAGTGCGGTATAGCCGTCCAGTGATCCTCCCCTTCACGTGTTTCTCAACCGGAATGAATTAGAAGTACCGTTTGCTGCCTACCAGCGTAGAATCGACTTGACTAAATCTGGAAAGCATATATTTCATATTTCTCTTAAGACTACATGTTGCACATCAACCTTGAGCCAGGAAAGATGTATTTTCCACTCACCGAACCGAACCACCTGGGACGTTGCAGACGGCCTTTCCAACTCCCCCCATTTCGTCGTCAGCTGTGCGTTTCGCCAGGCCACGCATTCCATCTTCCTCGGCACCCGGCTACGAGAGCCTGGACGCCCATGGGTCGGAAGATCTGGGAGATGTGTTACACACCGACAATGGCTTAAGCGTGTATCATATCAATATATATGATCAATACTGATATAGAGGTGTTGATCGAACTTTCCGGAGGGTTGCTTGCTATAGGTCACATGAGCTCAACATTCATGGTGATAGTAAGAGCTGTCTTTTTCTGTACCCCGGTGTGTTCCAATCGTCCGTATCTCTCCCTCAAGAGGCCCGAAGAGCTGTCGGTGCTGAGAGAACTGATCGACACGATGGGACTAGTGGTCTAAGAACAAAAACGCGCCTGGGGGGTGGTTGAAGTGGTCAGCTTGAAGTGGTCAATGTAGTAAAATATGACTTTGAATGGAGTGTTTGGGAAGGATGAACAATCTTACAACTCTTGCCAATCAGGATCGCATTCACAGGCCACTATCAGGTCTTTATATGGTCTTTATGTCAACTATGACATCCCATGGAGCCCGCGCCTGGCATGCTCCGCCCCGCCCGAACCTCGCGTGGCTCCGCCGAGATGTGGCTATCTCTACCACTTCGGCTCCGTCTTTCAGAGCCCGGACCGGGGTGAAGAAAGCGGCGGTCTTTCTGCGCGGGGTGAAGGAAGAGGTGGCGACGGTCAGGTGAGGAAGCAAGTAGACGTCTATGTCAGAAACCACCTATAGAATGTCAAAGGTGTGCAGGGGATGCCTGGAACCTCAGAGGTTAACAATGGTTAACATTCAAAGTATGGACATCGTTTGGGGTCTACTACTTTGGCATGACCGTAAGATTCTTGCGACATCGAGAATGAAAGATGCTGTAACCCCCAAGGATGAACCGATGCTGTAACCATTTGCATCTGGCAAACAGGTACAACATGGTACATCTAAAAACTAATTGTTCTTGGTGTTTTTGGTCCACTCACCCTTGCAAAGCCGCCAGGAATTGCTGTAAACCGTGAGAGGTTCACCGAAAACCCTTCGGAGATCGGCGCCGAGCATCTGAGCCGAGCATCCGAGCACCCACGGTTTACGACGAGCGGGAACCGAAAGCACCTATAAGGTTGGGTCAACGTGGTGAAACCGGGGCAATTCCGCTTTTTGGAGCATCGTTTTTTTTTGTCTCACTCGAAGCTTCAAATTACATGAATCGAAGATTTGGAGGTCACCGGGCAGTAAGGCATGATGTTTCAGTAGATCAATTATATACTGTAAGATTTGGTCGGTAGCTAAACTAAACCGATAATAGTCCCATATCCTACCACTTGGAGAGTGTGAATTGCAATGAATTGCAGGACCAGCGGACAGTCCTGTTAGCTCGCGCCGGACTAGATGGAGGGGTGAACGGACGGATCATCCAGAAGGCTGGGGGGAGGATGGAGTGCAATCCTTGGAAAAAGTATTTGAGCCCTTTATATGGAAGGAAGCCATTTTCAGCCGTTTGCATCTCATAGACCCATTTTCAGCGCTTCTCGTTTTACGGAAATCGCTACACCTGTTTTGTCCATGCGAAGCGAACATCTCAGGATGTATGTGGATCAGACGACGCGCTTGGAATCATGCCTCGATTCTGGGCTTCCTGTGGGTGACATGCCTCATATGAATTTGATTGAACCCTGAAAATAAGATGGTGATAAGGGAACAAAGACACAAACTCTGCATAGGCAACAGAAGAAGCCAGCATCTAGGCATCTATCGCTTGTGTTGGTCAAGGAATGTCAGTATCAGGTGAATCTCAGCAGAACCTCAACCCAGATCTGACTATCTACTACAGTACAACAACTAAGCAACCAAGTCATTGGATCCACCTCAATGTCAGAAGCGCACAATTCGTCAACCACAAAACTACACAACTCGAGACGACATAGGTGAAGCTGGGGTTCCAGTTCCAGCTGTGTTAGCCGACCCGCCCTGTCCATCCTGTTTGCGCCAGTTGGGAAGCTGCTGGGAAGTGAAAGCCTCCTCGAATTCCGACCTCAAAGCAGCTTGGTCAGCTTGGTGGTTGGATTCAGGGATTTGGGTCGCAAACCAGTTTAGCCACCTTTTGTTGCAATGATTCATTTGATATTTGTGTTATTATACAAACAGGGAACTGCTATGTAGTGCCTAGGCGGTTTTGCTTGGGGCATAGGTGTCGTGTAGGCATATTGCATAGGCAAGTGTGCAGTGGCCTGTGCATGCAATTTGGATCAATTTGGTAGAGGCAGATTGATGTGTTGCTGTTCATACTTCCTCTTCATGCTGTCTTTGCCTAAGCCTTGATGGAAGATGGCTAAGATGGCCCGACCCTTTTCGACCCTTTTCGTCAAGAACAGGCGAAACTAGCCGCTACAAGCTCTCACGAAGTCACGTGACCATCGGACTGGAATAGATGCCGCCTACATTGACCCTGACTTGGGACACCAATGTGGGTCAATAATGGTCAATATGCTATATGGTTATGACCTGGATTAATGCTAACTCTAATGAATTACAAAATTGTAAAACATACAAACAAACAACCATTACAAACATAATGCAAAGAAACACACACAAAAAAAATATCGTACAAACAAAATGGGGCACACAGTTCACAATGAGCATGAACACTAGACACCAAGAGGCATCGCAAGAGACGAAAGCCCTAAATAGGAGCCCTCCTTCAAAAATCACAAACCTTTAGAAGCCTTCAAAAGTTTTCACATAAAATGGAACTTGTGCTAGGTCGTGTGTACTTCAATGTTGTTGGCATCCACTTTCGAAGACAAAAGTTTCATTGTTTGAGCAGGACGCCTGTGTCAAGGATGGTCTGGGGATACTCTGACAGCCTGGTCTTCCTGCCTGCTTGCGTAAGCACCCACGGGTTCACACCTTGCAGGGGATGTTTGTGGGGATATCGAGCGTAGGCGCTGGCAGTGGCTCAGCGAACAAGCTACATTAGCAAAACCTTGACGGAGTACAAGAGGGCCTAGTAGAGGAAGGTTTTCATACTAATTATGCTGTGCTTTCCCAGATCCGATGGCGTTGTTTGTCGCCATAGTTTTTTGGTTTGCCTCATTGGATTGGGAAGTGATGGACGTCCCATCTAAGGCCATTAACGGGCCAAGCCTGGGCCAACGGGCCGAGCCAAGCCGATATCGTCACACCGATCAGAGAAAGACCATTCTCAAGCACTGTTAAGCTACTAAGTGCTCAGCCATCGTGTGGGAAGAACCAGACTATCAGCCATTTCCAAAAAGGCATGACAGGTACTAGGCACTAGGTACATCTAGGTATACTGTATACAAATCACAGTCTTGCCTATCAAGACAATTAAAGAAGGACTTGAAGAAGAACATCATCCAGAATAATCACAAGGCTATAATCCGCCGGAGTCCAGGCGAAGCCTTCATTTTTTCCTCATACGATCCTTTTTTTGAACTTGCTCAAGACTTCAGTCGAAATGTTCCTCATCAAATCTCAATGTCTCACGGTCTCACTGATTGAGAATCTACAGATACCTGGGTCGTACGGAGGGACCCGGGACGCCGCTCGTCCTGATCCGCCCAGGATGTCGGTCGCAACATGCATGCCGTGGACTCAGTCGTGTCCGGCCGAGGGACGGTCTTCGGTCCTTGACATCGATCGGACACGATGTGATCCCCAAGAGTGTGGTTGCTTCATATATACCAGTGAATGAAAAAGCATGAACAAAGGTAAGATATATCAAGTTAATCCAGCCATTGTGTATACGACCTAAACTGAAGAGAGGGTGTTGCAGACCTTTTGTATTTTTGGGGCGTATCCATGGTTGTGCTATTTGCTTGGCAGGCCTACTACTTCCAAGTTTGCCCACACTGTATAGTCGTGTAGCGCTTTGACCATGAGGCTGGCCCCCCAACCAATCAATGATACGGTACTATGCATTGCCACGATGTTTGAGGGCAAAATTTGAAGGGTCCCAGAGTCCCAGACATGTTACCCTAGGACACGTGAAACCGCTCATTCCAACCCAACTCCCTAAGGGTCCAGGACCATCCGTTCGATGTGGATGTGTTGCGTTCGACCATTCTCTCGAAGCGTTGCAAGGCCTCCTAACACCATCCTCAAAGAGGGTATACCTAGGGACCCATCCTCGGCGACGTTGCGGAAGCCGAAAAAACACATGCAGGGCCATCCTCGGGACCCGCGGGACCCATCCTCGGCCGCCCCCAATCCCCCCAGCTTCTAGACTGAGGAAACGTTACGCGATTCTGCGATTAGGCAAAGGGTTTTTTCCTCATTCTGCGATTCGTGGCCTTGGACTTCCACGATGGAAGGACACCGATCATGGCCTTGGATGAGGTTTTGTATCGTTGAGGTTTGCTTCGGAATGACACCATATGAAACATGATGTTCCGCACCGGAGGAAAACATCCCCGTCCAGACATCTCTGATCTAAAATCCCATTGATTGTGCCTCAGACTTCTTGGCCATTTACAGCTCCTCTTTCGGATTTCAGCTCTTCGAGTTCTGAGTACAGAGGACCACATGGACCCTGAAAACCACGTCGGGTAGATGGAATGATCGAGTCTTACAGGGCCTACAGGGGTCCATAACGGTCTATGTTAGTCGGGGGGTACTGTTTTGGATAAGAGATTAACAAAACATAATAATGACCCATCAGGAAATGTCCAATCTTCTAAAAAGTGAAATTATCAATACCAATCCACCCTTCTTTATCTTCTTCCATTGCTCACGTCACTTGCTTTGGCCCAGCGACCGGCTTGCTCCGAGGAAAGCTCTTTGGAATACACCGGCCCTGAACGAGCGCTGTGCGGCAAACTCGCCTGGCAGGGCGCTTGGGTCGGTGGAGGAGTCCGGATGGTCATGGTGGGTACGGCGTGGCGTGGTCACGAATGGTCGAAGTACATGAGGTAAGTATGGAAAGCTTTGGGAACTTGAGAGTAACCTTTGAGTAACCTGGATTATATAGATATACAGATACATATACACATTATATACTGTACATTATAGACACGACACGAAAAGGTTTGGTTGGTCCTCCAAGCCAGGGGTGACTTACTACTCACTTTGTTGACCCCCGACCCCCACGTATAGTATAATAGTTATAGAACATATAATAATATACAGCACAATTATACACATATGTAATTACATGTATATATATATACACATATTGAAACTATCTCACTTCATGTGGGCATGTCTAAAGATAGATCATGGGAGATCCTCTATTCACAGAGAATGAGTCTTCGTCACCCTGGTGAAGTTCAAGGTGTCTTAAAGATTGGAATTGACCCTGATCCATACGTGTCACATGTTTACAGTTTATAGATCCAGTGAACTCAGGGATAGACAGTGAACCTGCTGCGTGTCTTTCCCCTGGTGGTCCGGCTGGTTCGTTGGTTGGGGCAGACTTCGAGAACACCTGGAGCTTAGGTATAGTAGTTTCTTGCTACTAGAGGTAATGGCCTCCAACCTAATAGCGATGGCCTCCAACCTAGTAGCTTCTTGTTACTAGCAGAAGGCCAGGAGCTACTAGTAGCGTCCTTGCTCCTAGTAGCGATGCCCTTTGTTACTAGTAGCGATGCACTTCTAAAGTTGTTTGTGAGCCTTCGGGACCAAGCAAGCTTAAGCAAGCTTGGAACAGCAGACGGAGCAAGCTTGTGAGTCATTTTTTTATTCAGTTGTGACTGCCACACTTTCGAATTCCCTGAAACGGGTTTCTGTTGCAAGGTGAGGTGTTTGATTTGTTTTTGCTTTCCTTCATCAGTGCCTCATGGTGTTTGTGTGAACGGATCTCTGAAGTTGTTGGGCCACCGGCGCGGAGTGCCACCAGTGCCACCGGGGAGAGTTATCGCGCTGAAACCGGAGGATCCTTCGTCCAGAAGATCCTCCCGCAACTGCAGATGGGGGGGCGATCTCACCTTGGCTTCTTGGCAAAGCTATTCTGGTCTGCTTTCAAACAATGTTCGAAGCCGAAGTTCCAAGAAAAGACCCCAGTTAGCTGGTAAAGTCGGAAAAGAGTCCTGGTAGGGTTAGGGGCATTGCGAAGAGTTCGGGCACAGGTGGAACTGGGACAAGATTGAGCCTATTAGCAGCGGACACAGCGGGCACACTGCACTTGGCCGAGTTTGGAACCTCCAAAAGTTGTGGATTCCTTCAGGTGGAGTCATGGATTAAACCACCCCATTTGGATGCACGGACTTGCGGACGGTCTGTCTGGAGGCGCGCGCCCACTCCCCCCCTTCCCAAGACAGATTGAACAACCCCTCCAAGTGGGGGGGGTGATCAATCAAGAGTTTGCATCCGTTGGGTAGTTTTGTGAATTCTAGCTACACCTCGCTGCAGGATAGTTCATGCTCCACTGCAGCTGCCTTCATCCAACAAAGATAGGGTTATGCGATCGTACCAATCAGATCTAGTGTGGGCACCTGAAATCCAACAGATGTGCTATATGTGGACCTCATCCACAGTGGTGTTTGTAGGACTTTATGTTTATGACTCATGACTCATGACAATGTTTCCCATGTTTTCCCACCCACCTCCAGGAGCAACATCTGATTCAGTTTGGTTCACACCCAGACCGATCACAATGCCATGTCCACAGCACCAAGCTTTTCCCCATGAGGCCAAGGGATTGGAGTTGGATACTGCATGATACTACATGAGATGAAGTCCAGTGCGTTTATTTCAGAGAACAGCAGACTTGGCCTGCCTGCTCGCAAGTTTTCAGATCGTGTCAGCATCCCCCATGAACCACACCAAGACTTGCTCAGAATACTTGCTCAGGAACCACACCTGTAGTTGATCTACCTCACAGAACCATACCAAGAATCAGCAACCCCCATGACGAACAGCACCTGGACGTGCTCCGTGGACGAAACGAACAGCACCGAGGTCGGGGTGAATGGTGTGACCTCCATCGGTCAGGTGGGAGCGCCATGGGTCTGGATGAGCACGTTCGGCTGGTTGGACCCGGGTTTTATGGGGTGGGTGAGCCATGCACTTGTCGACTTGTGGGAGCTGCAGTTTTTGATCCATCAGGTGACATGTCGTTCTCTATATCTTTGGCAACTTTGGAGGGTGTAGATTCACTCTTTGTAGGGTTGGTTTGAGGTGCAGAAGCTGATGGATGCCTTGCAATAAAAACATAAAAATGAGGCCATGCATGAACATCCTTGCCTATTGCGGTGTTGCTGGAGGGAAGGAACACCCACCAGCAGCTTCAGCACAGCACCGGCCCTTCACGTTCGCAGGGCCCGCAACCGTTGGCGGGGTCCGTTGAGGTCGACACACATCGGTCGTCTACCGTCCTTTTCCGCTTGGCCTAGTCTCGGCCAACGGGGCGACACGGCGTGGTGCCTGTCCCTTGTTCCGTTCGTAGTGATGGAGCGACTTCAAGGCCCCTGTCGTGATGTGCGGCTTCAAGGGCGGAGCGACACCCAGCGCCCTGGGCGGCCTGTTCTTTCGCCGTTTGCGGACAATCGTTCATCCTGTCACCAACAGCTTTGAGATTGATCCCATGGCGTTTCTGGGCGCTCTGGCTCTCACAAAAATGCTTCGAGAAGTTCAGTTTTTCATGGCCTCCAGGCTTATTTTCGAGATGCAATAGACCCAATGAAAAGGGCGCAGCCGTCCACGTAGTGTGTCGCCGCTGCCGTCCGTCTTGCGAGCAGACAGAGGGGGGGGAAGGACCTTTGAACAGTCGGTGGCACATGGTGCGACATGGTGCCACACCGACAAGCAGTGGGGATCAACCAAGGACAGAAGAACAATATTGAGAGCAAGAAGAAGCGACCAACCAAGCCAGGCAGTAGCGAAGGAAGAGTCAGACAACGACAAATCACAAACCAAAACCATGCAACAGACTAGCAACATCCACAGATCTTTCACCCGTTCCCCCGTTTTCGCCCCAAATCGACCGAGCGAAACCTTGCCAGGTGGGCTTGCGGTATGGCGAAGGCAAGAACATCCTGACGGCCACATTGAGCCGTACCCCACCCTCCGGACTTCCAGGAGAGGGCGAACATGCGAGTGACATATCACTAGGGAAAAGGGATGACGAGGTCGGAAAATGCTACTATAATGACTACTGTATAATATGAATAGTCTAGATATGTCTAGATGGTAGTTTTCGGTGTGTTCAATTCTTGTTTTCAGATGTATATGTACCAATACCATATAACGGTTTACATACCTGTGATTCATCACCAGGAGCAGCATCCGAGAAATGACATATGAGTTCATTCTTACGGCCTTGGATGCTCTTGCTGCAAACGATTGGATACTTCAATTCACACATATTGCACGTAAGATCACAGAGTCAGAGCTTCTAGGCGGGATTGGAAGGTTGAAAGCAAGCTTTGCAGAAGCAGGACATGTATGCGGGCTTGAGTGTTTTTTTGATTATATAACATTATATAGAGAATTGAGAGAAAGAACATGACACTAGTGTGTTTTCCTTGCCTTTGGTTCACATAGCTTGGTCTAGGCAACAAACAATCCTATCCCAAATAGTAAATAGTGCTCTTTGGGTATAGCAGATAGCGGGTGCCCTATGACATCATGTAGTAATGTAGTAGAATGCCATTCCAATGAGAGTGAAACCGATTGCAGCTCTTTGTCAGGAGCTCCAAGACCTAGTGAAGTGAGTGTATTTTCTAGGCACCGGCCCCCTTCAAGAATCACCACTACGTGGAACTGCTGATTTGCATCCAAGATCATCAAACCTGTAGTGTGACCACGTGATTGTGGCTCTCCAGGTGGTCAGTTTCATCACGTGAAAGATTGAATCGGGATTCGGCAACACAGATAGATGTTCCATGATGTTCTCCATATTCTGGGTCGGTTGATGTTCGATCAATCAAAGGTGTTGAAGGATTAATTTCCAGGGCTCAAGATTCACACTACTAAAGCAACTGGACAGAGTTCCAGACTCAGTCAAAGCAAAGTAACTGAGCAACTCCGGACTCCTGGTTGCTACTGTCTCGCCGCATGCAAGGAGAAAGCAAGGGTCGTTTGGTTTTTTGTGGCTCCCACCAGGTGTTACATGCATGGTGTTCCATTATTTCTTCCGTCGCCAAACGTATACGTCCCCTTCCACAACCAGACACTCCATGTATGCCATATTTTGCCTACATTGGGTGGGTGAAGCAGGGTCAATTGGGCGGCATACATTATCATAATATATATTATATATACCAGCACCTCCAACAGGTCACCAATTGAAACCTGAGACAGGGCCTAACAACCCTCCAAAGGAGACCTGTTGGAAGGTGCTGGTATATATATATAGATACTGTATATATATTCCAGTCCAGACAGGTTATGTCTGGGAATTTCACCATCCCAACGGAGGAGCGGCGGGTCAAGTGCACGAGCTCAAGATGTACTTTGTCGCTTGGAAGCTGAACGGCTGATGGCGAGGGCGTGTTTTTTTTTTCCCAACTGCAGCCGCGGAGCCCGGCTAGTGCAGTTTTTGCCGTGGGAACACGAGAATGCAGGAAAACGGTGCATGAAAGCATGGTCAAGCATGAAACAACAATGTTGATACTGTATGTTTGCGTCTTCGTGAGTGGGGAGGCTGAATGTTGTCGCATTTCTTCCTGGCCAGTTTGTTCACGGCCAGGTGGTCCATACACACCCCCAATGTTGGGTATCAAAAAGAACAGACACCAAGCCACCCTTCGACACGCCTGTGTGTGGGGATCGGATCCTCACTGGGTGGACAGACCCTGGTTGCCAGCGCCGGTGGACACCAGTGACCCAGGTGCGAAAGGTCACCGAGCGTTTGAACCTGGGCACCGAGTTCAAGTTTTCCTTTCCCGACAAGGAGCGGCGAGTGGTGGAAAGCTGCCTTCTGCGAAAGTGGAAGCAGCGGTTGGAAGACGGCGAGTGGTTTCACCGAAGGGTGTTTTTTTTCATGTGTTTTTCCCATCTGCCGGAATCTTAACGTATTTTGCATTAATGAACGGTATCATCTCATTGGATATCTATGGATGACATGACGGGGCCATTTTTGGATGTGGCAGTGAACGTTTGGTAAAATGACATTTCGTTTGTCCCGCGCTTGGAATGGGGAGAGGACAGGTCGATTGGACAAGACTCATGCTGACTGATGCTGAGTCCTGTGAGAGGAAGTGCTGTAGTTTGGTTGATTCGATGCAAGATGATGCAAGAACTGTCAGAAGTTGTCAGAAATTCCAACACCAGTAGAACTAGCATGACATGCCGACTGTATTGTTTTTTGTTTGATCTCTTAATTCGATGAATTTTGAGTGGATCATTATATATTGCAAGGCCAGGTGAACAACTGCGCGTTGATTGATGGAAGAGAGTCTGGCACCGCGCGAGATCAAGCAAACATAGCGGCAGGGAAGGAGTCCGACGGTTGAGTCCTTGTTCATTTTACGTGGGGCATTTGTGTATTTACAATATGCATTCTCAGTGGCTGTTTATTAGACATCAGGACATGTTTATACATGTTTGCATCGTGTGGTTTTGTCATGTGTTGTTTTTTCTTCTTGATTAATGAACCATTCCATGGTTGTTCTGTTGTTTTGGATTCTTGGATATTAACTGACAAGGAATAATTACAGAGAACCATACAGGATATATACGTACCCTCTTCAGTTGCTATGCACAACACAAAATGGTCAATAGAGCTCCGTAAGGTTCATATGATGAACTTTTAAGCGTGTGTTCCGAGGACTTACACTATACTGACCAAAGCAAGTTTGAACTTGCATGTTCATCCAATCTCAATATTTGGGAAGAACTACAGTATTAATTAGATTCGAGATTCTTCTTCGACCCCCGTTGCTCTTTCTCGGAGGACTCAGGCCTGAGCTTGGGCTATGAGTACATTTTCAGGCGCGCCTACCGACAGTGTTCGGAACACCGGCAGATCACCAGATCGCTTGCCATCGCTTGCCGGACCGCATCTTCAGATATATCGATATCTTCGTGGACCAGAGGGGTAGGTCATGTTTCCTTCCTTCACCATGAGGGGTATAGAGTCGACAGATCTGAAACAGCCAAGGAGTCGCAGTCAGGAGTCGCATGTTTCCCGCTGGTCAAAACTGTTGCTCCACATTGCTCCATGAATGTGAGCTTCGTGCACTCACTTATCCAAAGTCGGTCGATGCTTGTTAATAATGAAATATGAGCATAGACTCTGCTGGAGTCGAGAGTGGGCATTGAGCCATGTCAGAAGTTGGATGCACAATGATATTGGATATGGATGGATATGGATCTATCCTTTGGTGAGGTCTTTAAAACGAAAACACATGAAAAAACATTGGACTCTAGTAAGGTCCTCTTGAGCGTGTTTATTGGTCAAGCGACATACCAGGGTTGTTCACAAATATGATGCAAGATATGTTGAGTAACACTTTGGCACACTGCCCATCAGCGGATGTATGGTTGTAAAGACAAGTCATTTATATATTAATGGCAGCGTAGGCTGTGAGGAATGCCAGGCAAGGTTGTGAATCAAGCATCAATCGAGAGGGTATTTGGAAAACTTTTGGGATGTATTCAGACAAAAGCCTGCCTCCCATGACGTATGCGAGAGAGAGAGAGAGGGGATCCTGGTCGGTTTTCTGAAGGATTTTTGGGAGAGATGAGTTTACCCAACTGGCCAGGTGTTCTCCCACTGTATTGAGAATGAAGATGAGAAAACTCACTATATAGAATGTGCAGGTGGGGGAGCCTTGGACGTACTCCTGTGCCAGGAGGCTGCCAGGACATGCAAAATAGCAGTTGTCTTTCAAAATCAGGGCAAACAAGGTATTTATTTGATAATGGGATGCGTCACAAACATTGACACAGAACCACTCGCCAGGAATGCGCGAATCCAGGGCCTGCTGGATACTGACGGCACCTCGCCACGGTTCAGCGACAGGAGACAGAGGAGAATGAAGGGCCTCAAAGAAACACCTGTTGAACACTGGCAAAATCATGTGAGTCAGTTAAAACCACGACAAGCCCAGACTCTTCATGATCTTCCAGACTATTACCATGACTTCCTGAGTTCCACTGTGACTTGTGACTCTTTTGCCAGATCTACAAAAACCTCGTTCGTCAACGAGGAACTCGTCGCCCGTTCGTATAGCAGCAGGCAAGGTGAGCTGCTGCGTCCACGACGCCATGGGCTTCGGTTTCAGCGGACTCATCGACTACGCCCGGGGCGACTACAAGTGCCTCGGCCCAGGCACTGCCAGTCGGTGAAATGCACGTTGTTCAAGGTCGAAGAAGCCTCAAATTCAAGGTGGAAGACACAAGAAGTTGGTGAGGATTTCCCAAGAAGAATCCTTCTCCAGGGTCACTTCCAGGGGCTTGGTTTCAGAGTGTTTTGTTCTTTATGTTTTCCAAGATGTTCACCAACCACTTCAGAGTTGGAGGATCTTCCTGTATCAATCCATCTTGCTGTGTATGTGGTGCAGCAGGACTTCGTAGGAAGTAGGCGTTGTGTACGACTTGGTGACTTTGTGACGCTTGGTTGCACCACCAAGACTTAGGAGGTGTTGTGTTGTGGGTGTTGTGGCACACGGTGAGTTCGTACTCGTGACGATGAGTTCGCTCAAAGGAGCTGTGGGACCAAACAAAGAAGCAATTTAAAACAGGACTTCCATTGAACCCCCTGACTCCAACCATCTAGGTGAGTTGATGGGCAGAGACTTCTCACCAGATGTTGGAAATCAGGATTTGACCTGAACCACCACCACCAGCATCATCATGATCACCGCCATCAACATCATCATCATCATCATCATCATCATCATCATCATCATCCACTAAGGATCCCACTAACTGGTGTCATCCCAGACAAAAAACGATTCCCCCAAAGGATTCGGCCTCCCTCCGTCGGATCGACCAGCGATTCGTCAGACTGGAGTCGGACTGAGGTTTGGCATGGTCATGCAAGTGGCCCCTCAGCCCGAACCCGGGCAGCAGTGAGCCGGTTTTGGCGACCCGGAGAGGCTGAGATGGAAGACGCCCAGGCTGAGATGGAAGGGGCCATTGAATGCAATGAAACACACCCATGGCCAGGATTCCTCGAAAGGGAGCATCACCGTGATACACATGGTTCTTCTAACAGATTTGCTGGTACTTGACCTGACAAATGCGTGAGGAAGTATCCACTCAAACCCGATGGTCCAGGTCTCCCTACTTGGGAGGGATTGAATCATTGACTTGAAGTGATCTAGAATAGCTTTGTGAACAACTTGAAACAAAACCATGAAAAGTACTGCTTCTCTTTGACGATAGATACCGAAGAAGAGGGAGACAGCTTCGCCACATGGTCTGACGTTGAATTTAGTAGTGGATTAGTGGATGTCCCATGGGGCACAGATTCCCCATAAGAATTTGCTCTCAGTTTCCAAGTGGCATGCCTTTTCGCATTCAATCGCCGGGCGTCAACATCACAGCCCTTCAGGAAAGCAACCAGAAACCTTTCGGCGTGGGGCTGTTGACCCAGGCTTTTGGGACGATGGCTGGTCGACCATCGCTGTGATGAACCTCCCATGACATGCGGATCTACTTTGACGCTCCCTTATAACTTATTATATATATATATATCATCAACAATCAAAAATCAAGAGATGTTTGATCCAGGCGTCCTTCTTTGTCCTTCTTTTCCATTGAAACATCCGGCAGTGTCAAGTTGAACAAGACACAATGATAAAAGTTCAGGAAACTAGCAAAGGGGTGTCTGCCATGAACAGGCACACCCCACCCAGATGTGGCAGACCCGCCCTCCTCGTAGGCCTGCCCGGTGGGTCCGAGATGTGTGAAGACAACGCGGCGATGCCGACGTGCAGGGACCCAGAGTCAAAAAGAGCGGACGCGCCGGCGCGAGGTGTTCCATTTTTTTAATCGTGCGATGTGTGGCCCGAAGGACTTTGGCTAAGCAAACCAGTGCTATATCTTGTACTTTGGGAAGAAGGAACAGCTGTGGTGGTGAGGCTAAACAAAAGAGCTTGATGGCTTTTGATGCACAAGAACCAGGAACTCCAACTCCCAGCCATATATAGATGACCTTTTTACTGCCTGCATTGGTTGATGAAGACAGGATACAGCATGATGTCGTGTTTTCAAGTACCAAAGGATCGCTCCGAGCCAGCAACAGCATTTGGCGAGCGGAGAACTTTCCGGGGATCGGTTTGTTTGGTCCTGTTTGGTCCGGGTTTTTCCGGGGATGGTGATCAATGGACTCACGGCGCACGTGCGAACGGATCATGGGCCTCTTAGCGTCTCGAACCGTCTCTCGCTTCAAACATCGAACGGACGACGGACATCATGGGGGGGTGTAGGAAGCTACTAGTAACAAGTGCCTTACTAGTAGTAACAAAAAAGCTATTAGAATTAAAATAGAATTAAATTAAATTATCATGAATTGGGCAAAGCGATGGTCTGGGCTTGAGGTGTACCGAGAATGTCATTAGGGAGCAAAGGGGATCAGTTACCCCATATTATTCATTTTGTATGTCTTTTTTGTTGCCGTGTATTATAGTTAAGTATAAAGGTATTTTTGGTTTGCTGTTGCCATATTTATTTGGTGAATCTTTGGATGGATTGAATGTGCAGAAGCGTCCTACATGAAAATAGATCTTGCAGCCAGTAGCTGGAGGAGAAGTGAGTCTTCCACAGGGCTCAGCCGACGTGAAACTCACGTCCTCACGTGAAACACACGCTGGCCCAGTCCGAAACTGCTAAAAAAAAAACTCAATCGGCCCTTTAAACTCGACATGGAAGGTCCCTGCAGGTCCCTGCAGGTCCTTGACGTCCCTTGAGGTCCAATTCCCTTGAGGTCCCTCTTCAGGCCTAGTAGGGCTTTTTGTGGCTGGTCTGTGAGAACCTCCATTGGGTCGAACCCCGAGCGGGGCCATTTCAGCGCCACTCGTTCAGATCTTTCAGGTCCCAAAACAACATGTGGGCGGCTTTACAGGAACAACGACACAAGGATGAACACGGCTAATGAATCTGTGAATCCCAAAAACCGCAGCAAGCCCCCAAGCAAGAACGGACTCCCTTTTCAGCGGACACGTAACCCCCATTTGGAGTACAGGTTCCTAGCTTGGTCTTGGGTCGAGCGATGCCGATGTTCCAATTTCACACCGGCACAACTTCTAGCGGCAAAGCGAGACGATCAAGACATCTTGTTCTGTACATTGTCTTTCGTGACCGTCTTCTGAGAGTGACCACATACCGGTGTTGCAAATCATTCGGAGGAAGTCGGAACACATACGTTTAGTAAGGGGGTCAGCAACCATGTTGTCTCCTGCTACCCACCTCAGTGTTCCGCCAGACCGGCAGAGATCATCCTTGAGGATGGCGACATCGATGGCTGTTCTTTTATCCTCGACTTGGGCGTAGGTGCAAACCAACTTGTTGATGCAATCGTAGAGGGAACGGGAGTCAACCACTGACACGTAGGGGATGGATGCCAGATGCCTTTCCCAGTCTGTGGTGGACATTGGAGCCCCAAGAAGCTCTAACAGGAGATACCTGTGCCAATGGATTTGGCCGATTCCTTGAATCAGTGCCTGGCACTCTGCACTGAGGGTGTTTACTGTTTTTCTTTTCAACCTTGAGGATTTCCATGAGGTCACTGAGACCATGTGTGGCTGGTTTTCACTCTCCATGCGCTTGTCATAGAACATGAGAACATAGCCGCCTTGACTGCTGCAGTTAAGCATCTTAAGAAAGCAGTCGCTGATGTGGGAGTGTTCCAGTTCATGGCCTGGAAGCTGCTTGGTGAAGATGGTCTGTCCGGTCCATGGTTGGGAGTCCCAGGTGGTGGTGCTGTTTCCTCTGGTCCAGTCATCTTCCTTGGTGTTTCCAAGGTTGTTCACTGTCCGTCGGCCTGGTTGTAGGTCGTGGAGGTCAGGTCCTGGTGTGGCTCCTGGGTGGAACAAGGTTCTTCGTGGCGTCAAGTGGTGACGGATCCAGTGTTGACTTTTCTCTTCCCAGTAGTCTGGACCATCTTTTTCGATCTGGTCTTGGCTTCTTGCATTCGACCAAGAAGCGTCAGTGGCGACGCCAACCCTCAGGTTGCCTGGGGCAATGGGCATGATCCGGATGCCACTCGTGGCGTATTTCTTTGCCTCCTGGGTGATGGAGTTGGCCTCAATAATGTCCTTGATGCGTGGTCGTGGAAATACTTGTTGAAGTAGTGCCACTCTTCCAGCTATGTCCGGCCTGCTCTCCTTGGCCAACCATGCGAGGGCTCCGACACTGGCTCGGAGACTTGACACTTCTTTGTCATCACAAAAGGAGAATCTTCTTTTCTTCCTGCTTTTCTCTAGATGAATTTCGAAGAGTTTCTCCTGAACATAGTTTTCTTGGTTCACCGTGATGCTATAGTCATCGTGCTGGGTGAAGAGCTTGCCGGTGAATTTTCCAGCGCCGTACTGGAATTTACCAAGCTTGTACTTTGTTTGGATCTTGTTCATGGCTTCTTCATGGTCATGGTCTCCTCCGTGAAGAAGATCGTCAGTGGCTACCGCAATGATGCCGCTCAGTTGTTCTTTTCCTGTTTCTAGATTGGTCTTGAGCTTGTAGTAGATGCAAGGGTCAGCCAATGACTGTTGGTAGTGGAGGTCGCCAACGAGGAACTTCCGGAGGTGGTTGTACCATGCCATCATGTCTCCCATTGAAATGCCTGGGTGAAGTCCAGGAAGCCAAGTCTCCACTGGAAGCTGGAAACCAGTTGGGCGACAGTGAGGGTGCCTTCTCGGGTCACTTGTGGAGTCGTGGCCTCAATGTTTTCAGCACCTTCTTCGCTGAAACCCTTCATGACGTGGCGGGCTTTCGCCTTGCATGGCTCATCGGTCTCCCAGTCCAGGAGAATTTCTTCTTCCTTAGCTTTTTCAATTTCATGAGGTTCCAGCGGTTTGGGTGTGAGGACTAGCCGACTCTCCATGATTTTATTCGGCATGGTCTGTCTGCCACGGGCTGATTCCTCGGGGCTGACCATGGTATAGGCGCCGATGTTGATGTTGTTCTGGATCTCTTTTCTGATAGCGTTCTTGAAGCATTTTTGGTTGCGGAGGTTGAGCTCTTGTAGTCGAACTTCTTTTCGTTGTCTTCCCTTGATCAAGTTCTCGACCTTGAGGAGGTAGGTCTCAAGATATTCAAGTCGGGATCTTTTGCTAGGTTGTTCATCCAATTCGTCTTCATCATGCGCTCTCTTTTCTCGTTCTTGTTCAGGTTCTGGAAGTCGGAGATCTGCTTCATCTTGTTGGCGATCTCCTGATTGTTGGTCATCAGGTACCGCAGGAAGTGGCTCTCGATCATCATAGACTAGTTCATCTTGTGGCCCCTTCTCTCGATAGCGTTTTGCAGGTCGTGGATATCCGAGAGGTTCTTTGAGTCCTGGTGGTAGTACTGGTTCCATTGGAATATCTTGATCGGGCGCTTCATCAGGTTCAGTTGGGGTGTATTCTTCGTGGTTGTCCTCATCGTCCATGATCTCTGGGAGCGGTTGGTCGGACAGGTCCAGGAAACCTCGAATTGGTTCCGTGGTGATGTCTTTCTTCAGCTTCACGAGGTCTTCCAGCCATCCTGACATGGCCATGTTTTCTTCCATTGAAGCTCTCCTGATTCGTTCAGGGCTTGCCTTGACAAGTTGGGACTGGTATGATAACCAGATAGTGCTGGGTTGGTCGATCATGATGATTCTTGCTGGTCCGTGCCAATAACATGGTTTGAACTTCAATTTCTTGTCGGCTCCCATCCGGAAGAAGTAGACGATCTCGCCGATGTCATATTCGAGGACAGGTCGTGGTCCTGAAGCAACTGCTCTTCGAAGGGAATTGCTGGCGTCTGCTTCGATAAAGGCATGTGCTGCAGCCTTCCGAAGTTTCATTGATCGTTCGATACTGAGATCGCCGACCTTGATTTCTGGTTGTTGTCCTCGATGGCCGTCGTCTCCATTGAGAAGGCCTCCGGGCAAGAAGGGGTTGAAGCCTAAAACCCGTTGGCTAGGACTGAAGCCTCCAACGTTCATC